AACTTGTTCTTGCATGAGGCCCATTGTTGCTGTTCCTCAGAAACAAACAACAGGAGTGTTAATCAGTTAAATAAAAATGAGGTGTAGTTTATATGAACAGCCCTTACCCTCATCGCAGTTTTGCTCATCAGAGTTATCACTGCACTGCTGGGTTTTGTCGCATTCCAGTCCTGGATCCAAACAGCAGCCGTTATCACAGGTGAACTGGTCGTGGGTGCACGGTTCRTCACATTTTTCCACTGCTACACACAAACAGAGATAATTATCAGCTGGGGCTGTCCGATGAGTAAAAAAACAGCAGTGTATGTTACAAAATGAAACATGTGGTCATGTGGATCCGGCTTCTCATACCAATAAACCTGTAGAGACTTAGCATCAAAACCTGCAACTCTACTTTGCTTGAAGCTTAAAACAAAACTATGTTTCTGGTAAACAGTAAAGAAACAGAAAAATAAATGTGTTTGGCAATAACCTCAATCAGTGGCTCACAGTAACTCAAATGTAAGAAATCGTATTGTAAGAAAGCAACAAAAACAAACAAAAAATTTTTTAAAAAGCCTTTGCTGGAAAAGTAACAGTAACAAAAAAATTGCTAACACCAATGCACAGTTAAAGTTAATGCTTTTAATAAAAGTAGATTATTATTATTATTATTATTATTATTATTATTATTATTATTATTATTATTGCAAAAAAGCATCACAGCTTTCAAGTCTAATATTAGGTGTCATCGAAAGGAAAAATGACTTTCTCCCACTAATCAAAAACATTTATTTAAACACAGAAACAGCTCGTTTCACATCCAGTGATGTGCAGAAAAGCAACAACTGAAAGACCTGAAGGAGACATATGGCAGCTGTGTGGTGTTTGATTCACCATTTTCTGAGTTTTTTTGTGCTCCTTTGTCTTTTTTATAACAGTTATTTACCGAGCAGGATTTCTTCAAGAAATCACCTAAAAATGTTTGCATTACTCTGTGCAATCAACAAACAACTGTGTAAACAACACAGAGAAATACACGCATCACAAAACAAGTAGTCGTGAAAATAAATAAATAAMAATATTTTCTACCACTGGCTCTTTAAAACACACACAAAGCTTTATATTTTAGGGCAGGTGAAGGTAAAATGCAGCGTTTATTATCAGAAGACAGATTCTACCTACCTGGAGTTATCAGAAGTCGACCACCTTTTCCTGAAAGAAAAACATTCAAAAGTAAATTAAATGAATCAACCAGCTGTTTGTTGCACATAATATATTTATAAGACAAAAATATCTCCAACAAGAGTACTGCATACGTCCATTAAAAGACTATTATACAGCAATGTAAAGTATATCTGTGAAATAAGCCAAGTGCTGCTGTTACAAGACAACATATAAAATAGAAATAACTTTAAAACGTTGTTATTTCTCTCAACAGATGTCACTGGTTGATAGTGGAGGGTCAGAGTTGTCAAGCTCTTTAAACTGTAAATATATCAAATAAATCAAAGAAATTGTACCCTTATTAGAAAACAAAGTTGGTAATTTTGAAATGTATGGCAGCAACATTTCCAAACAGTTGAGACAGTGGAAATAAACGGCTTTAAGATCAAATAAACAGCTGGAGGAGCATTTTGCAGCAAATTAGGTTAATTGGTTGGTTTTCAGTAAGCGAATGGAGAGAAAAAAGAGCATTTTAGAGAGAATGGATCTCTCAGAAGTAAAGATGGACAGTGGTTTGTTTGTTTGTTTGTTTATCATTATTTAACCAGGCAAATCCCATTTAGATTGCAGATCTCTTTTTCAAGGGCGGCCTGGGCCTGAAGTCAACCTATTGTACATGTTTTTGCGCTGTGGGGGAAACCGGAGTGCCCGGAAAAAACCCACGCAGGCTCTAAGAGAACATGCAAACTCCAAACAGAAAGATCCCAGGTCCGAACCGGGGATCGAACTCAGAACCTTCTTGCTGTGAGGCGTCAGTGCTAAACACTGAACCATCATGATGCTAACTACTGGTTCATTAGCAATTTGGAGAAAATAAACAAACAAAAAGAAAACAGTGGAACATTTTCAGAACATTGGGCCTCATGCAAGAACATGTTCATATTCTTATCCTAAATTTCTCTTACTTTTG